TCAATGATTTTTTTTCTTTTTTTATTTTTTTTATTTTAATTTTTTTTTTTTAATATGCCTAAGATAGGTATTTTATAGCTAATTATTATTATATTTTGGCGTTAGTTTTTATAGCCATGCTTATCTTTCAAGTCTCTTTGAACTGAAATGTTTCTTTATCTGTTCGTCTCATTTATCTCGAGAACTAGAAGACCCATAGAGCTCAAATTAAATGTATAGATAGTTGGTAAGTCAGGAACTATTAGAGCTATATTCGTTTCATTTGGCACTCAGGCTTCTGCTATTTTTGGAGCTATTCAAGTTATAAACTTAAAGGGAAGGAGTTATAAGAATTATAGAATTATAGAACTATAAGAATTATAGAACTGTAGTTCAGGAAATCTATTTAAGCATGCATAAATCTCTCTATCCGTGATCAAACTATATGTGTTTACATTCTTCAGGCATGTCTTTAATACTGTTTTCCTTCTGCGATCGATGCTACGCTACAGATTTCCCAATCGCATCTTTTGGTTTTTTTTCACATATATATATTATTTATAACGAGTCCAACATGAAATTTTACACTAAAGCTATGTCTAATCCAACCAAACTGCTTGGTGCTATTATTAAAACGCTCGTCATCTTTAAGTTTAGAACAGAAATTTGTGTATTTTCCAAATGATACAACATCATCTGTATTTGTGTATCTCTCTCTCTCTCTCTCTCTCTCTGTCTCCTTCTCCCTTTGCCTCTCTCTATCTGTTTCGTTGTTTCGGTCCCCTCTGTCTATATATCTATCGCTCTTGGCCCTATATCTCATTTTATGGGCAGCCCCATGCCGTGTAGTCAAAGCTTCTTCTTGCTTTATTTTTGGCTTGGCCATATTTATAGCGCTCATTTCAGTGCATTCGTTTGCTGGCTCTCGCACACACACACTCTTATTGTAAGATTACACACACACATACACACACTCTCTCTCTCTCTCGCTCTCTGTCTGTCTTGTTGGGCTCGGCTCTAATGGCTGTCCTAGGTGCATAGCACGGAGCTAAGTTCAATTACCTTTAAATGGTTTATACAAACAGACGCAAGATGGGCAACTGATATCAAACGGCGCATGCACCCAATACACACACACAGACACACACGCACATATACACACATACGCAGGCGCACAGATTAGGCAGACGTGCGCCTGATCCCAGTTCTCAGTAGCCCGTTGTTAGCTCCCAGTTTGCCCGCTTGCCTAAGGCCGAGGTGAGGCAATGCAATAACAACAACAACAACAACAACAACAACCAGAAAGAACTCAAGTTGCTGCCAAAAATAAATTTGAACTCAAATCGCGGCGCAGTCGAGGAAAAACCAAGAGTGCCAAGAAAAACCAACGCAATGAATTCTTCTTGTTTTCCCAACTCGAGAGCCAGGCAAAAGCAAAGCACAAACGTACCGAGCCGATATATATACATATACATATACACATACCTAGCTATACTTCTATCTATACATAGACACACGCACATATACAGACATACCTACTACGAGCCCGCCCCGCCCCCCGGATGAGGTGCGCTTCAAGTGCAGACGCTCTTGCCACTTGGCGCATGGGGTTAGAATCTTGATTGTTGTTGTTGGTGTTTTTTTTTTGTTTTATTTAATTTTTGTTTTTCTTTTTTCGGACAGGGTGAAGCCATCCCCAAGTCCAGGGGCTGAGTCTTCATTAGTTTCGAGTTTCCCCCCCGAAAAAAAATAAGCAAACAACAAAGACAATAACAATAACAATGTGAAACGCAAATGAAAGCAGGAAAATTGTTAAAAAACAAAATCAACAACGGAAAAACATCCAAATGTTGCGGCCGGTGTGCTTAAGGGCGCGGAAAGCTTAAACTCTAGCTATAAAGTAAATACAAAGATATATAAACGAAATATATAGAAAAACACACATACCTATATATAATATATATATATATATATGTATATGTATATGTACAAATACACATCAAGCGATCTTTCTCGTTTGGCCCCGATCTCATCTCACATCTTGCTGCGCGTCTCACGTCTGGCCGCCGCCTTGTCTCATCCGTGTCTATTTATAAAGTCGAAATAATTCAGAGAGTATCCAAGTTGGACCGTGCATGAAGTACAGTTGTGTGCGCACGCTCTAAGTGATGCAAGTGAAACAAGTTGAACCACCGATCGAGATATACTATAGATTGATTCTCGATATATGTATGTACATATATATATGCACATATATGTATATATGTATGTATGTTTATCAATATAGCTTTGCACATGCGAATCCTTAAATGATCAATCGAAGAGTTTCAAGAGCGGAATATAAGCAGAGTCTAAAATATATATACATTGATATATGATATATGGATGTCTAGGTTGATTTGTAATCCTGTCTGTATAGAGCATATAGATCCTTAACTAAACTGTCCAAGCTATTCCTACGAAAGAATCGGAAATTTTGCCAAACACATAGTTCATTATATCATATAAAGACCTAATTCTGTAGATATGTATTAGAATTTCAGATTTCTTACGTGAATCATTTACAAACAGTTTATTTAGACTTCAGTTTAGTTGACATCAACCTTCTCGGGATCCATTCAAGGCTAAGAATTGGGATGACTGTAGAGCTCTTTTTGATGTACTCGATGCATATGATCCACTGACAGTCTGATGTCTATTAGTTAGCTATTCAGCCTCATCAGTGAGTCAGCCCTTCTTTTCTTTCAGGTATAAAGATCTTGTTGTCAACCAGTAATTCAATCAGCTAGTCAGTTGACTTGTAGCCCAATAATTTGCCATTTAATCAATCAGTAAGCCAGCTCGTAAGCTCGTCAGCTAATAACTATAGTTAGCTGATATGTAACTTAGTCAATTTGTTAGGGAGTCAGCCCTATTTGTCAATTCTGTCCAACGTAGTCTTCCACTAAGACAGGTAGTTAAGAAGTCACTCAGTTCACTCAATCAATGAATGAATGTCAGTTGTCAAACTAATTGCCAGCTAGTCAACCACTGAATCAGGTAATCTCTCAATTATTCTATTAGTCGTTCAGTCAATCTGTCAAAAATTTAGTAAATTTTTCAGTCGATCAGTAAGTAATACTGATCAGTAAGTCTTAATCGTATAATCCTTCGATAGGCAGTCATCCAACAAAGCTCTCTATATCAGTTTATCTTGTCAGTCAGTCAATCAATCAGTCTTTCAATCAAAAAGGCTATCAATCTATCGTTGGACAGTCAATCAATCTATCAATCGTTTACTCTGTCAATCCTTCGATAGGCACTCATCAGTCTATGACATCTATCTAGTCAGTCGGTCAGTCAATCAGTCTCTCAATCAAAAATTCCATCAATCTTTCATTAGGCAGTCTATCAATCAATCAATCGCATACTCTGTCAATCCTTCAATAGGCAGTCATCCAACTAATCAGTCAGCTAGTCAATCTAAGTCAGTCAAATAGTCAATCAATCTGTCGTCAGGCAGTCAATCAATCAGTCAATCGTATACTCTGTCAAGCCTTCGGTAGGCAGGCATCAGTCTATGACAGTCTATCTAGTCAGTCAATCAGTCTATCAATCAAATAATCAATCAATCAGTCAATCGTATACTTTGTCAATCCAGCGATAGGCAGTCATCACTCTATGTTAGTCTATCTCGTCAATCAATCAGCCTCTCAACCAGGCAGTCAATCAGCTCGTCAATCACTGCGCATGTGCTTACTCAGCCGGTCAGTCAGTCGGTCCATCAGTCAATCATATTGTTAATTATAGAACTGTCTATCAATCAATAGGTCAGTCTGTCAATCATATGCTTACCAATACACCAATGTCAAAGAGAGCATCTTCAATCTGTAAATTTTTTTCCCATTTTCCCCCAATATATATACACATGTATCCGAATGGGATCAGTTAAAGCTAATGCCTTATGTGTATAGTATGGATATATTTTGTTAATATAGATTTTGTTCCCGATCAGCTTGACTGAAAATTTTCAGTTAATTTTGTGTAATGGCAATGGAATGTGCACACAATGTGAAACTTGGCCAAAATGTTTAGGTTAATTTTTCCTTCTATTGTGCATAAATACGAAACGTTTTTCCGACTCACATTTTTTTTTTCTCGTAGGCCATGAAGCTGCGCTCTCTCTCTTTGCTCTCCCTCTCGCTCTCTCGCTCGGTCTCTCGCTGTCGCTGCTATACTTATGTACACCTACACACACACAAACACACACACACACAAACACAGTCGCGCGCACACTTTGAACTTTTATTTGGAAAATCGCCAACCCCACACGGCGCTTTTGTTGGACGATCAGCTAAAGACCCCAATAGAACGGACGGACGATGGGCGAGGGGGCGAGCCGGTCGGAGGGGGCACCCAAAACAAGGGCCATGGGTTGGGTTGAGGGGAATGGGTTGGGGATGCGGTTTAAGGTGGATCTGTTTCGATGCATGAGAGTGTGCAAGAGAGTGAGAGAGGGAGTGTGCGTGGAGGGGGCAGGGCAAGCGGGCGCTGCAAACTGGCAAAGTGAAGCAGCCGCAATCACGGCCACAGCCACAGGCAGGGGCACCGTCACAGCCACAGCCGGCGCTGTGGAGCAGAGCATGCGCTGCCGGCTGCTGCTGTTGCTCAGCTCGCACAACAGCGCCAGCACAACAGGCTGCGATGGCTGCTCGGCCGCTCGTGGCGCTCGGGCCGCGGCCAATTCGAGTTGGTTGCCTGAATTCAGTTTTCAGTATTCGATTGGACTGCGACTGTGACTATTTCATCGCGCCGAGAACCGAAATCCCGACAAACGGATCCAAATTTAAAAACAAAACGCACCAAGCGCGAGCAAGACAGAGCGACAGAGAGGGAGAGAGAGAGAGAGAGAGAGAGAGAGAGAGTGGGAGAGTGAGAGCGGCAGCATAAGAACAAGGGAGAGAAACGGTAAAACGCTTTCGTTCGCGCTTTGCGCTTTTCCTGCTTTACGTGTATTTGTGTGTACGTGTGTGCATGTCTGTGCATGTCTGTGTGTCTCTGTGTGTGTGTGTGTGTGTTCTTTGACTTTTTGTTGCTGCTGCTGAAAATCACTTGCACTGCATACTATATACTACAATATAATTTGCTCACTTCTAGCTAAGCGTATGACCGACCGACCGACCGCCTGCCACTGGGTGGGCGTGTCTGGCGAGAGATCGGCGGTCTTAAATGGCTTGCGATGTCTCTTGGCAGACTCACAACATTCTTTTAACCAACACTCGGCCAGGGCAAAGAACACATTCACATCGTCGTCAGCATCACATTGACATCTGCCATATCTGAGATCTGAAGTCTAGAGCTGGACATCCTATGATCTCATAATACTCATAATAGATGCCATGCCTCATGGCTTTGCACAAATTTCAAGTTGCAAACAGCACGTTCAGGCAATAGCTTCTAGTCGCATGTCCGATAAAATAGTCATTCGAAATCCTAAATCATTTCTCGAAAGTCTCTTTTTAGCTTTTTCAATCAGAGCCCCAAAAGTATTTTTAGTAGAGTCTTGAAAAAAACTTAAATATTTTGGGAAATGCGTCTACAGACTTTATACTAAATGCCAAAAACTTTAGTCCATACATTTTTTCTGCATTTTTTAAGACTTTATGTAAATTAGTGCTTGGCATTTCATTATTGGAAATTTTACATTCCTAATATATTTTGTTTATCCCTAGATTTATTTTACATTGTAACTGGAAGTTTGAAGCACAGCTATTCAGACTTGGGCCGATAGTATTTCGATTATCTGAACATTTCCATTAAGCTTTATATGCGTTTCAATTTGAAAGTCCATTGAGTAGCTTTTCCTATGCCTTGAAAGTTCATTAAATAACTTTTTCTACCCCCTTAAAGTTATTTAAGTTGCTTTTCTTATTTTTTAAAAGTTCATTGAGTAGATTTTTTTACTCATAGAATAGCTATACCTTTTCCTTGAAAGTTCATAGAGTAGCTTTTCCTATCTATTGAAAGTTCATAAAGAAGCTTTTTCATTGACTTGACATTTTATAAAGTAGCTTTGCCTTTTCTTTGAAAGTTCATCAATATAATAAAATAATCCATACAGCACCTGGATTAGAGCTCGAACTTCGATGTAAAGCTTACTTTCTTGTATTCAGTTTATAAAAAAATGTTTTTCGGGACTCAAATTTTCTTCAGCTTTATTTGCAGGCAGTCAGGCAGTCTTGACAGAGCTTTCAGAGCAAGAGAGAGGCAAAGAGGCAAATGACTCATTAAAAGCTCTTGATGACTCGAGCAGCTCATCATACCCCTTTGTGAGGGTATCTAATAGTCAGGCATTGTTTGTGTTAAGTTGCAATTGCTAGAATTTAATATGAATCGGCGAACGCTTCAGTTTGATAGCTGTATACATAGCTCTATATAAATATATATAAATATTTGGAATAGCTCTATATATATCTGAAATATCTATATCTATATATCTAAAATATCTATATATATATAAGAGATATAAACAGCAATAGATAACTTGCAACAATTCTTAAAGCTCTGTCTATATCCTGCCAGGCGAAAGCTCTGCGTAAGCTTGGCTTGAGCTTCAGAGAGGGGAAGAGAGAGAGAGAGAGAGAGTGAGAGAAAGGGGGAGAGAGGGGGCTAGAGAGAGAGAGCGGCAAGCAGAGCTTAAGCAACCCTTTTTGTGGAGCTCATTTCAAGTGAAATGAACAGGTTCAACACCTGCGCCCCTTTCATATGACTCACAGTGCGTTGGTGTGTGTGTGTGTGTGTGTGTATTTGGGGTGCTTCGAATTGAATTGCAGCGTATTGTTGCTGCTGCTGCTGTTGTTGTTGTTGTTGTTGCTGTTGGAGTACTACGCGCCATATTATAATGCGACAGTAACCATGGAGCCGCAAGCTCACCTTTAAGGCGATAAGATAAAGCTGCCGCTAACAGAGATTAGATATTAGCCGCCTATGGGTTTCCAGCCAAACAGCCAAAGCATGAGTTGGCTGCCGCGTCGCGTCACCTCACTGCGCTGCTGCTCAACACTGCGGCGAAGCCCCAGTCACATTATCTCCAAGACTGGCAAGCAGTAAAATAGAGCAAAGCTGGCGGGGTTTGAGACACGTTTGAGTGTGGCGCGACGCGAAGTGATTTATATTACCAAACTCTAACTGTGAATATAACTATTTTAGATTTCATATACTTTTTTTTTAATTTAAAAAAAAAAAAAACATTTTTTTTTTATATATTTTATTTAAAAAAATTTTTAATATATTTATTGCGTTGAAATTTGTCTTGCATTCAAGAAGTTGCGACGTCACGCTTTTCATTTTTCATCTTTTCATCGCCAGCGTCGCTCTATCTATGTGTGTGTGTGTGTGTGTGTGTATATCTGCTGTGATGTTTACGTATGGACGTGATTTCATGCTAACAAATTCGATTCTATGTATTTTTAATTTTAGTCCAAGGTTTGAAACAACAACTGCCGCCAACTATAAACGTAATCAAAGCAACAAAGAAGCGCACGACGCAAAAACAAAGTCTTCAACGGAGAGCGCGAGACAGGCAGAGAAAGAGACCAAGAGAAAGAGACCGAGAGAGATAGAGAGAGAGAGAGAGAGAGAGAAGGGGAGAGTGTCATTAACAAAGCAAGAGAGTCGGATCGAGCTATATATTGACGTGCATACCATAAGGGAGAGACACAGGCAGGAGAGCTGGCAGCTGTAGCTTGGCCAATACAAAAAAATTACGCATACGCAGTGTGAAGCGCAATCGACGCCAAGAAGAGCAAAACAAAAACAAAACACAAACAAGCGTACACAAATAACAACAAAAACCAGACAAGAGCAAAGATTAATAATAAAATAAACTGATCAGCACTGACTCAGCCCAATTGTGTGCCACGCCCCACACCGCATCGCACCACCCTCAGCCGTTCGCCTCATCAATGGTGTTGGCCATCGAAATTGTTAACGATCACAGATAGTTGCGGCAGTAATTGAAACGTTAGTCAATTGACTGCCTGAAAAGCAACTGCTACTTCTTCGCGCAACAACAACAACAACAGCTAACGGGAGCGAACCGCTGCCACAGAGCCACCGTGCAGGGAACATTGCATTGGTGGTGCAACTATTCAAACTGTAGCCGGCTACAAATTCAGGTGAGTAGCTCAATGCATAAGACTATAAATACCTATATAGTTTTTACTTTTATTTATTTTTTTATAGCTTAAAACGAAATGTAGACAATTTTCTTATACATTTTTTTTTTTTTTTTTTGTATAGAGACTTTAAGGCATTTTTGTAGACTTTTTTGTCCTTTCTTTAAGACTTTTTGCAGACTTCTTTGTAGAGATTCTTGTAATTGTTGTTGTAGTTTTTCTAAGGGTTCTTTCGACTTTTTTGTAGACTTTTTAGAATAATCTTTTGTAGACTATTTTACGGAGCTTTTAGGTATAGTTTCTACTAGTTATTTTATAGACTTTTTATGAAAACTTTGAACAGTTGAGCTCAAACATTTTGTAGAGTTTGGTGTCGAATTTTTTAGGAATTCTTTTATGGAGTTTCTGTAGTATTTTGTAGACTTCATATAGCCCAAAAACCAGGCAGAGCTGTCAGAGTTGGCATATTTAGTGCTAACTTGGATGGAGACCTGTCTTGGAGACCTTTTTGTAGCCTAATAACAGCAAGTGTAGACTATTTGTTGTAGAGCTCGTGCAGCTTACAAGCTTTGTAGAGCTGTTAGCTTACCTAGAAGTAAGCTTACGGTAAACAAAGCTTTACCTTGGGGACTTTTTTTTTAGATAACGGCGGACTCTTTGAACTCAGCTTTATGAGCTACTTAAGTCATGTATGAAGCTGTTATAGAGTGTAAAATTTTTAGAGAGAGTTTTTTTTTAAGTTCTATAGAGTACTCGACAATAGCCCAAGTAGTGCAAGTTGTAGAGAAAAGGAGACAGAGTTTCATAAACGAGAAAGAGAGAGAGAAGATTGGATCAGTTGAAATATTTTGTTGCCAATATTACGTATATCTCATTAAAAATGTCTTTATTATCGCTGCTCGCTGGCTCGATACTTGAGCAGCTCAACGTAGGCACACGCACACACACACACCCACACCCACACAGGCAGGTCTATGTGTATATAGGGGAGCAAAACTCGTGACCAAGGCCCTGTCAGTTGCTAGTTTCGGCCAGTCTTATCAAAGAGCCAACAAACGGTTGGAACTTAAAACTTGCTCAACCCAGAGGCCGAGAATATGAAATGAATATTCTGAATAGTCTGTAGTGGGCAGATGTGGGGGGTTAGAGATGGGCTTTAGAGTCGTGACACGACTAGCACGAAACGCATATAGACTAGAAATAGAAGAAACTGTATATTGTACATAACAGTTCTCGCCTAGATTAGAAGGTGGGGGGAGGGGGGTTTAAAGCCAAAAAAAGCATTTTTGTTTGAAAATATTGCGTATACGCAATGTTGGCCGAATAATAACTAAGCCAGATTATGTTGGGTTAGTTAAAAGTTATAGATATAATATAGATCATTTAGATGTATATATATGAAATATAATATACCATATATGCACACTATATCAATCTATATCTCTTTATATTATATTTATATGTTGAATATATACTATATCATACAAGCATTGCTATACAGATTGCTACTGTCTTAATATATAGTATATATATAGTGTCCATATATATGTA